CTTGGATTGTTCACCCTCCTTGTTCCTATATGTGTGTTGATCGAAGAATTCATATGAATTCAACCAACAAAGAAAACGAACAGAAGATTTTCAAGTAAATTGTTCATTGGCATCTTTTGATATCTGTCAGACAAGTGTATCGTACGAAATGCCTGTTTTATTGCATTGAAAAAATTTGAAAACGGAAGCGGAAATCTTAAATGACGAAGGAAATCGTCTTCTAAACCTTCTACGTATATTCATGTCCAGCATGTGAAAGAAATACTACTGTACATGTCAAGAGACGGAGGAAAGCAATTTCCTGATACATTAATGACGTGTAGACAGTATTTAAACAAATATTTAATGTGCTTAAAGTTCGGGATAATTAGAAACACATCTATAAAGTCAGTCATTTATTTGATCAGAACCAAGCAATAAGCAGACGATTGTGTATATTGCCTTACAGTAAATACTAAATATCAAAGTGAAGTGCAGGGCAGAAGCCAAGGCAAAAAGAAATTTGTAAAGCATTTTGTAAATTGAGTCGCTCAATTGCCACTTGTAGATAAGACTTCCTTGAAAAGATTTGGTTAAGTTCGAAACCTTTCTAGGTAATTATTACTTTGAAATATTCTAATAGTGTTAAATTCAGTATGTGTAATTAAGCTTAGAGTGAAGAAAGCTAATCAAATCGCAAATTGAAGCCAGCTTGAAATAAAATGACCCTTTCTTTACAGGTCATTAATAGCGTACTAACGTTGGGGTTGGGAAGAAGGGGGTTGCCCGGTGTGCCATAGATCTTGAGACACCAAAAACTATATTGGAGGATCATCCCGGCCCTGGGATCCAGTGACCCTCACTACGCTACTCACTGGAGGACATACCTGTCTGCCAAGAAAATAAGGTACCTATTTGTCAAATTGGGTGCCTATTCTTTGCACGTATGTCAATTGTCATTATATATATATATATATATATATATATATATATATATATATATATATATATATATATATATAAATATATATATATATATATATATATATATATATATATATATATATATATATATATATATATATATATATATATAAGGACTGACAATCATGCATGTTGACTTGTTCAGTTGCAATAACATGTTTGCAATTAGCTGATACGGACCTTTTCCACAATAACTTCGTTCATATAGCAGTATCTTTATAACAAACAAGGCATTCACGATTCAAACATTCTCTCCCATAAGTAAAATCTTTTTGACACTAAATTAATGTTTCATAGATTCTCCTGAGGCTTACGATATAAACTAATATTTTGTTTTCTATCTTTTTATATTGATTTTGTGCGTAATGGGAGGTTAGAATTATTTAATTATTTTTAAATTACGAATTGATATAGATTTGAAGAACCAGTGGGTGTAATGGTAGTCTTCTATCAATACGAACGTCGCTGGGAATGTCAAAACTATTTGTTGAGATTATTTTAAAAGTCTAGTAATGTTTTGATTTAAGAGCAGACAATTGTTTTCTTTGTATTTATGGGATATTCTGTTGATTGGAAGCGCTCTATTAGTGTTTCTAGCTTCCGATAGTGTGACATGTATAAGGTGAATTTGTTTGCATTTGCAATATGCACATGAGGGAGAATGTTGAAATATTGCTTTCATGTAATCTGGCTAAAAATTCTTGGATATTGTCCTTGTGGAAATTATACATGGTCTAACTATGCAAGTAACCAAAAAGACCACTCCCATTTTCTCAAAACTCAGCCTGAATTATGATAAAATTCACTATATATAGCGCTTATTAAAACATGGAAAATGAATTTTGCTAGACTAGAAAATACTATCTTTTGAAAGAGCATTGAATGACTTAGCTATATGAAATATAAAAAGATATATTCACACTTTTTTACAATATACCTCTGAAATCCAGTAAGTGAAAATGACCAAGCGAAGAAAGCATTTTTTTTTAATAAAAAACAAACTCACATCTGAACTAAGGCCAAGCAGTATATTTAATAACATATATTACACCAATCAATCATACATCGAAATAAAAGAAATTAAAATTTATATTAAGAATACCTAAGATATTTTTAAATAGCCAGTATTACATTGAGGAAAACCGTGAAAATTCATTTTCTTTAAAACGTTAACCCCATGCAAAATACGAAACTGTAGAGCACAACCTTAAAAAATATAATAAAAAAATTATGCAAATATTTTTTCTTATTTTTATATTATCGTGTGTGAAGTTCTCAACAAAATGGTAGATTTACATTGATGCTATGCATGAAATTAAACTAATTCGCTCTTGCTAGTACAATATGGCAGTATTGTGTGTGCACTGACTTTAATTGTGGGTAAATTGGAAGTCTTAGAACACTGGAATAAAGTCAACTTAAATTAATAGCTGTTGAATTAAGTTCAAGAAATACACATTGATAATGTTTCTTTCCATTTGTAATGAAATTAATAAATAAACCATGACAAAGTGAATTCGCTTTCTCTCGTATTCTAGGTTTAGAATAATAAGCAAACATTTTAACCTTTGACCTCTACAAGCCTCCTTTGTTCAGTCATTTTCCATACTGTAAACTTTTCAATGATGGCTCAGGAATAATTGTGGTATGGTTCATATTCGGGTCTCTCATCATAATATCAGTTGGTTACAGGGCCATATAGAGCAATCACGAGCCCTGGGATAAGAAACCCCGGGCCTCTCTCGCTTCTTCTTCAAACAGAAGTTTTCTTTCATAAAATTAATAGTGTCGCTGGACCCGGTCCCCTTTTATGAGCCGTAGCCTGAGGGATATATTTACGGGTGCCCCCCTTCCTCGACTGCCCCGGTTGGTTGCCAAGTTTAGGAAAGTGTGCATTTTAAAATAGCTCACTTTTCATCCTGAGGGTGTCTGGATTTGTGTGGAACTTTGCTGCTGCTGAATACTGTTCTAGGGGGTGAGATCAAGCGAAATATTCACAAGGACTGTTTTGATGCTTGTGACTGAAATGTTTTAATCATACAATTAAAATTAAGTCACAAAATAACACTATGTGGTCTTTAAAACAAAGATGATATGTTTTGCAATTATTTTACTTATTTTTGATATCACGTATCATGTTCTCAAGAAAAGGGTAGATTAACATGGACGTTATGCATGAAAATAAGCTATTTATGCGCATTGTACTCTAGCTTAGACAGTATGTCTTGTACAATATTGTGTGTGCAATGACCTTAATTACGTGGAAATGATAAGTCTAAGAACACATGAATAAAATCAACTTAAATTTAAAATTTGAATTCGAAACTGCTGCATTATGTAGAAGAAATATAAATGAAAATACTTATTTTCATTTATTTGTGAAAAATATTAATAAATAAATGATGACAAAGTAAATTTGCTTTCTGTCATCTTTTTGAGATAGACGAACAATAAAATATTTTAATCTTTGACCTTTGACCTCCTCGAACCTCATATGTTAAGTCCATTTGTATACTGAAAAATGTATTAGTGATATCTCAGGAATATATATATGAAAATTTCATCTTCCTGTTCATTTCATATGTTCAAAAATGCGGCATATACTTAACTTTTTAAATCAAACAGAAATGATGTTATGTAACTCAATCCCATTTCGTCTGGAAGCCATGCTGTTGAGTATTATGAACATCGTTCATTTTAGCTTTGTACCATGGACTAAGTATGTGTAAACCATCTTTAAAAAGCTTAAATTATTTTATAGATGCTGCTTCAACAAATGTAAAATTTTCATTAAAATTGTATTTTTAAGATAATTTCTTTATTCGCTGTAGGGCAAGAGAATGAACTATTATCTGGTTTGTATATAGAAGTATCTGATATGTAAGGTATCTATAGTTTGTATTTTATAAAGTTTAATCATCATCATTTATTTCCAAAAAGCTGTTATAAATTCTGCTAATATTTCGTTGTTTACGACATAATTTCCAGACAAGACTAACATCTATCTCTGCTGCGTCACTACATCATTAAACACGCTTTCTTCGTGTCCAACGAGAGCATCCGATTGAAAGTTGCTAAAAGTCTCTCTTGGCATCCTTATATTGTTTGTTGGTTACACACACTAAGCACCTCATTCACCATTTTTGAATCCATATCCCTCTAAACTCTCTAGCATTTTCATGTGTTTCATGGTCATATGGTGACCAATAAGGCTTTGTATATGGTTTTTAACATAACGGCTTTATTGCGACCTCTTTTATAAGAACCACTAGTTTATTATTTAAATCGCTAGTTTGTTATGGAGTTAATGTGATGGAATATTATAATGGCTTAAACCTCAGTTGGTAAGATATAAGTCTATGCGGCGTAAATGGGAAGATATACAGAGAGTAATGGCGTATCTTGTGACTGGGACAGAGTATTTGCTGTACAGGACCACAAACAAGTATCTTATGTTGCAAAAATTATTTATGCATTGAAACAAACATTTTGCCAAAAAGAAAATAGTTATGAGATTTTCCAAGAGGCTAAAACTTGTAATTCAATCCCATGCTCATGAATGATTTCTTTAGGGCCGCTATGTTATTTTGCCAATAACATTTGTCCGTAATTGTCTTAGTAAAGCGAACACTACGAATGTAGAAATTCATCATATTTGGCTTTAAAGTTTCACCATGAGCATTACAATTGATATATGCTATTCAAGAAGGGAATCCAGATTCTCAATTCATTCTTAGTAGGAATGAATATCGTCCTCAGGAGAACGCCAAAAATAAAATGTGGAAATTTTAACATAATGCTTCATTGCATTTTTACGACTACACAATCTAGGTTTGTAACAGAATGTGCAATATTTTGCTCAGACATTTAGTATTGAAGCCTATTCAGTGTTATCGACTTTTAGTGCAGCTTGTATAGCTATCACGTAAGGTACCCAGTAATATATAAGAATGACTCAAAGCTTATTTACTCACATTCTTCCATTCTTTTTTTAATACCCTCATTTACTTACATTTTACTTATTCTGTTCGTAAACCGCTCCGTTGGCCTAGTGGTTAGAGCATTCGCCTCGGATGCGGGAGATCGTGGGTTCGATTTACGGTCGAGCCATGCCAATGACTTACAAAAATGGTACTAAAAGCTGCCTCGCTTAACGCTCAGCATTAAGAGGTTAGTGTTAGGACTTGTCGGCCTGGTGTCAGGAGAATGTGACTGTGTGGGACATCATGCCACATGTCTGCGGCATGATGCCCCAGTGCTAGACATCACTATAAACTGCCACACTGAAGACATCGTAGCGATATGACTGGAAAATTGTTAAAGCTACGTTAAAAATCATAATCACAATCATAATCACATCTTATTTTCGTTACCAGCTCATTTCTTTTATATACCTATAGCACTTTGGTCGATTCAAGATTTCAGATTTCCTCAAATTACAACGCGTTCTATAGTCCACAGTCAAGGTTCCTGATCAAACAATAGAGGCGTGGTTCACGATTGCGAATGAATAGTTTACAAAAGGGAGATAAATATTTTAAAAAATTTAATTTTGCAAAAATGAGGAAAGAGGGTCGGTATTACCTGTCATACTTGTGGTCCGGAGTCTACTCTCTACTATCTTTGACTTGGGCTGGAGCTTTAAAAGGTCTCTTATTTCTTCGATTAGTTAGTCCATTATTTCCAAATTTAAATTTGTTTAATTGTATATTTAACCGCAATGTTTTTTCACTGTCTCTGTACCTCTTTAAGGAAGTTACGGACATTTCTTTAATTACAATTTAAGTTTCGTTTTATTTTACCTGGAAAAATGATTCCAAAATTAATAATGGATTTCTAAACGTTTTGCAGTTCAAGAAGAATGTTTATCCTAGTAATGAAGTTTCTGTTATTCCTTCAACAGAGCAATTATGTAACCCTATGATTTCAGATGCGATATTATTCCTGTCACAAAGATCTCCTATCAATAAATACAAAGAAATATCCAATTACTACTTAAAACCAACACATGCGTACATTGGAAATAATTTGTTGAAGATGACAATAATTTTCAACCGGTGATCAATGTTAGGTGTATGTTGATGGATGATTCCAAAAATCTCAACCTATACTAACCGCCATGTATAGCCTACCATGTGCTGTTAAATGGCGTTAAACGGAAATCAGACACAGGCTAAATTAAAAAGTACAGACGTGTTTTACGTATACTGTTGACTTGAGCCACGACATATTTGAAGTGTGTTCCTATTCGTAGCTTTTCTACAACATGTACGAGTGTGAAGTTTAAGGCAGTGTTTTTATGACTTTTATAGCACAGTGGCTGATTCCGTGAAAACTTATCGTACAATTTATATCCCTTTAAAATCTTTGGTGCCAAGGTTAAGTTACTCTGATCCTATAATTTGGTATTATACTGCACTTGATTATACATATTTTAAATGATCAATGACGTTTGCTTTCCGCAGTATTAAGTTACCTGAACAAATTGAAGTAATTTTCTTTTGAGATGCATCATGATGGTAAAACAAGGAACTGAATGTACGGGTATATGTTAATGAAAAATTAATTGATCATGCATACAATCTGGATGTACTTTTCACACGGTAATATGCACGTTTCTTTGTGTTAGAGATAATCTGTGCAGGCTACGATCTCTGTGTGTACAATGTGTACATACATTGCATTATCAATGGTGTAAACGAATATTAACTGTGTTGACTAAGCTACACAAACTATTTCATACTTTATGTATCGCAAAAATCCTTTTATGTAACACTAATTTACTTCCTAGTAAATGGTGTGCTACAAGCACAATAATCCCTTTGACAACATAAATTACCAGTTTTTTATATTTTTCATTTAATATTATCATGATAAATTGATTGCTTTCGTCATAAAGAGATTTAGACAAAGAATTAGGAAACCTTAACTGATGAAGGGAAACGTCCTCTACATCTTCTACGCATATTAAACTCCTGTGCTTACAATAAAACCCTGTCTGAAGGAGGAAGGAAGCAATATCTTTGCACAGATAATAAAGTCTAGACAGTATTGAATCACGTATTTCATTAATTTTAAGTTCAGGGTAATTAATCACACACGGTCCACATCTGTACTGCTTTATTCATCATGATTATGTTATGTACAGAATATTGTGTTATATACTGCTTCAGGGCCCAAGTTATATATAAAATACCAAACCGAAGAGGAGACAAAACAAGTAATCACTATTTTAAGGCCTTAGGCAAACTGAGCCATTTGTAGGTAAGACTTCCTTCGAACAATTTATAGAGGATGTAAGTCTGTATAGTTAATTATTAAGGTCAAATATTAAAGCAGTTTAAAATATGACATTAGGACATGTTTCATTAAGTTTCGTAGTAATACATTAAATTAAATGGAGAATTGAAGCCGACTAGACATTAAGTGAAATTTGACCAATTCAAGATTTCAGATTTCCATTTATTTCAACGAGTTCCGTAGTCCACAGTCAAGGGTCCTGATCAAATATTATAGGTGAGGTTCACGATTGCGAATGAAGAGTTTACAAAAGGGATATAAATAGATAAATATTTAATTTAAAACAAATCGGAAAAGGAGGTGGATAATATCCGTCGTACTTGTGGGCCGGAGCCTACTCTCTACAATCTTTGACCTAGGCTGGAGTTTTAATAAGTCTCTTCCTTCTTTGATCATTTGATCCATTAACTCCGAACTTAAGATTGCTGAATTGCATATTTAACCGCGGTACTTTTTCACTGTCTCTGTACCTCCGTAAGGAACGTACGAAAATTTCTTTAATTACATTTTAAGTTTCGCTTCATTTTACGTGGAAAAATGATTCCAAAATTAATGTTTTACAGGGACTTATTTCACACACCGTGATGTATGCTTATATAAAATACATCCACTCATCATCCAGTCCGTCATTACGCAAACCTGTAAGATTTAAGACAACATTTTGAGACGAGTAAGTTATTGAAAGCAACTTGCATGAGTTATTACGACATTGGTTATAATTTGTTTTTAATTTTCTTACCCCAGTAGAGAAAGGGACTGCAAAATGCGCCTAAATGATTGGTATATACCTATGTTCTGGAGTGGTCACTATGACTGGTTTTGATCAATATTTAAAGACCAAAAGTTATTAAAGGAAGAATGGATGAGTGGGAAGTACAATACCCAATGAATGTGCTGACCATTTTCACAAGCTAAGTAAACGTGATCAAGGTATTCATATTGCTACGATCCCATGGTCATCATTTAAGTAACAGAAGGCAAAACCAACATGTTACGTAAAATTTAACAAATAAGTTTCCAAATTATAAAATGAAATTTATGAAGAACACAAAGTATCACGAATTCAATCCAAATAATCCAAATTCTTTATATACAGTAATTCCCGAATATTATTTTAGCCCAATGAGTACTTCGTAATTCCATTGAAGCTGTAAATATATGCTTTCTCCCAAATAATATCGAAACACATCTGCAGACTGATATTAAAGCAAGAACAAAGGATATAAGAGTGAATTTTCCGTCCTTATATACACATATCAAATGGAAATTACCACAAACTCATTGCAGGTTTATTATAATATTAATATTATGGACCGTAAGCATCTATTTATAGGTCCTGTGCAATATACAGATATACCCTGCTATCCTGGATTGAATTCATGACATGATGAACTCAAATAAATGAGTGGTCAAACAGAGTTTATTTTCAATATATTGTGATGTCCACTCACAAGCTTTACATTAAAGCTACTGAAACAATTATGAAATTAACACCTGAAAGTTGTACTTCATTTCCGTGCAAGTAGGAATGAACCAGATGAACAAATTCAATTGGAAAACACAAATTGATGTTACCAGACAGTCTACGATGGATGCGGGTATTTGGTATAGAGCTGCAATCTAAATTAAAGACAAAAGTTCTTTCATTTGAACAAGATGAGCTATCTTCTCGAAGAAAAGAACATAAGGAATTCACGTTAATTATTGACAACGGGTATAACATGTACCTATTTAGCTACGTCTTGAGCTCGTATAACCTACATAATTTTTACACCTGGTTTGATGATATAGTCATAGTTGCCTAGAGCCTAGTGATAAAGGTGCTATATACACTATTCAAGATGCAAAAAGCTAAAAGAAATGAATCTCGTTCACAGTAGGCAAACTATTGACAAATGACGGAACGTTATCACCGAAGTTGCTGCCCACAGTACATTGATATCTAATCTGTCTAGCTACAGTACATTGATGTCTAATCCTGCTGCCCTATCCAACCTGCCACCCACAGTACAGTGTTATCAGTCTGGCTAACCACAACATATTTATGTACAATCTGGCAGTTCGCAGTAAAGTGAAAACCAGTCTGGCTTTTCACAGTACAGTATTACCCGATCTGGCTCTCCAGTGTTATCCATTCTGGACATTTTATGTACTATATTAATGCAAAGTTTGTTAAATTAATCATTTTTAAAATTGGAAAACTGAATGTTATTATTATTATTATTATTATTATTATTATTATTATTATTATTATTATTATTATTATTATTATTATTATTATTATTATTGTTTGGACAAATGTCTGCTTTTCACAAGTAACAAAACCATTACATTGTAAATTTTATCTTGCCTTGATATGCAAATTTTAGCATCGTTAAACCATATGACAAAAACTTGTCTGTCATCATTTTAAAATAGTGGATTTACTAGTACCGGTCTCACATATGGACTTTTTTAAAAACATATTCTCTACATTTCTTTCTCTGTACTGAACTTTCTACTGTATCCAAATCATAACAAATCATACGTTAATCTAAAGTACCTTGAACGAAGAACTGTCGGTAAAGGTGTTGTCAAGGTTACCCAACATTTGTTTGAAAGGTTTGGACTAGAATCCAAGCAACGCGCAACTGGTCACATATTTTCAATTGCAGGCACTCATCAATGCCTCATTATTCACTGTACACTCTCGCCAATCTGCACAAAGACATCCACATTATAATGCAATTATTAGAACGAATAATTGATTACCTTTAAATCGATACCAAGAAATAACTAAATTAAAGGTGTGACCCGTAAGATTCACCGT